AACTACTAACTACTAACTACTAACTCCTAGCAGCAGCAGTAGCAACTCAGCTTCTCGGGCCTGACTTCTGCCCCGAAGACCTGTTGACTGCAGAAAATGCTGGTCATGAACAGAAGATCGTAGAGTCTCCCAAAAGGCCGAGCGGCGGCCACGACTGCGTTGCTTCTTCTTGCTCCGCGTTGGAGACCTGTGTAGGGCTTGAGGAGGGTGTGTTTCGAGGGCACCAAGTGGACGGGGGCCAGCTGTTCTTTGCCACCGGTGGAAGCCCTGGTGCAAGTTGGCATCCATGCCATAGGCGAGAAGATGCAGCGCTAGCAAAGTCCACTGACAGCTTAGCAGTGACAGTCAAGCCAGCTATGCTGCTAACCGCAACTGTGTGGCTTCTTCCGCTGGGTCTGACGGCGGCTGCGGCGGCTGCGGCTGCGGCTGCGGACCTCTCAAATCTGACATCAGCTTGTTTAGCTTTTACTGATGATTTTCGGGCGGAGCGGGTTGATCGTGTCCAGCGGCACAGTCTCTTGGACATCAAGCTTGCCGTGAGCTGGAAATGCTGGCTGATTTCTCGTTGCCGTGCCTCCTGGCAAATATCTGTACCCACATCATACGATTTGGAACTGTAAAGCTGTATTTCGTAGTACATGCCGCAGTAGATGAACTTCTACATAACTATACATCCTATCGTCGACAAAATATGCTCATCGCCAGCTTGGCTGCAAGAGGCATTGACTGGAGTAGTGGCAATAGTCAAGGAGAAAGACCAGTGCTGACGACAATACGAACGCTGAGGAGGACAGTAAGTTAGCAGCTAGCAGTCGGGCAAGACGGAAGACTTGAGCTCCAAAGACTTCTGATTCTTGGCGGGCGTGTGCGCTTTTTTTTGGACCGGCTCCATGTTTGGAAAATTTACACTGGACTACACGGGACGACCACGACAAAGTCATATGTGCAAGCTACGGAGCACTCGCTTCAAACGGCGAGCGCTGCGTACTTACGACACACTGTTGCATACGGCGAAAAGTTACTGAACCCGGGCACCACAGACACCTTTGGCGTCGGGG